TTTAAAATCAACAAAACTTGGAATATGGAATATATAACTTGAAACATATAATGTTTATAGCAATGCAAATCTTAGCATCGTAGCTTTCTATTAATCTCAATACTTCGTTTCATTGCGCGTATATAATTATTATTCTTTATATTCTGCAAAGGGATCGTTGAAATACAAAATAGCCTTAGACTTAGTTAATCGCGTTTATTTGTATAAATATTTCGTAATTTCCTGAATAATTTAGTAACGGGACTTTCGTTTATATAGCGTAGTATCTAATTAAGTGAATAATCTAGAATCTAGATTCTAAATCCCCTCGTGGCTGGTTTCTATGCATTTATTTTGATACAATTTATCGATGAGATCGTATCGATCAACTGAAACGAGTACGATACAATTTTTATCCATTAGAAAGAACATTTAATATAATTTATATATGTATATACGTTCCTATTGCTAACCAACTACAAATCATGATGATTATAGGGAATATAATAAAAGGGAAGGAAAAAAATGCATGATACCTGTGTTTCGTCCTCGATTCGAAGCTCACTGTTGTCCATTGTGTTCAAAAATGTTTGATAAATAATGGCCAGAAGAATTCTTTGTTCACTGGCAACAGTTAAAGAAAGTATAAGTTTCACAGGCTGATCTTGATCAATATTGCCATTATGTAGATTGAAATGATAATAAAATTCTGTTTCCTTTAACAGAGAGCGAGATCGATTGTCTATATTTCATGATAACGAGTATTCGTATTAAACGATGCACCATGCAGCACGCTAATCTTCATCAAATTGTTACTATCATTATTCGCATGAAAATCCCGAAGTGACACAACTAGACCTACAAGGGCATATTATCGATTTTGAAGATCGTCAACTTTATAAATTCCTCCGTTGCTCGTCGTGCTAATCATAGTTTGGCTCAAGAAAGAGAGAACCCACTGGAGCCACCGTGTGTGACATTATATGAGTGTCAGTAATAATAAACTTTTGATATTTTTCTTAAAAAAAAAAATTGTTTTTTTTTTTTCTTTAAGCATTAAATGTGTAATTGCAGTTACATCGATTGACAAGCGTCCTCGCAACTTTATTTCAGTCGTTGATCGATTGACAAACGTGTTGCAGGAAATGACGGAGGATCGATAGAAAAATTAGATTCTGGTTCCGATGGGCATTCATATGTAAGAACTTGCAACAATAAACGTCAGTTTAGTTGAGTAAATGATGATCGATCACAGTTTGAATCAGTGACTTAGCCTTGCTTTGACTCTCCCTCTCAATTATGAATGGAATACTAGCTATCTACTCTATAGTTATCACTTTTCCGAATCCGACCAGGTTCGGATGCCCTTGGCCCATCAAGAAACATGCTAACAGTTTTTTATCGGACCTAAGACAGATAACACACAAAACTGGATGCCTTTGGATAATTAATTGCAATCTTTGTGATTAATGTTTTGAAATGCTTATATAAGTGTATTGTTGTGTGTTTTTGGTCAGAACATTTTACTTCCTTCGTCCATTCGTTTTTTAACTTCCGTTTTATTCTCACATCTGATTGCTAATTATTATTTACTAATTAATTTCATTCTTGTCTACGTATATAGTTCCTTTTCTACTGATTTATGATTTCAAATATCATTATTGATATCTTGCACAGTTGGAAACAGTGCGACAGTACATTATTGAAGAAGACATCTATTTTATAGTGGTGATCGTTAACATCATGAAAAAATATTCAGAAAGTTGTCAGAGAATAACGTATGTATTGACAAGACATGGATTAGATTTCTGAATAATTAGTACGGTCATATTTTGTTCGGAAGACTCCGAAATAACTTAGAAACTTTCCTTCAACTCGTCGATCATTTCTTCACTTCAGATAATTGTTTCAAAAAAGGAAAAAACACAAATTACTTTCCCGTTGGAGTTGATAACATTAAACAGCACTAAAATATATCAACCACTATCGCTAGATAATAATCGTTGCCACTCTTATGTCTTTCTTTGAATTTTTAATTCCAAGTGTAACAACTAAGTGTAATGTATACTTGATGTAATATTTGGTAAAATATCCTTAATTGTTAAACACCGTGTTCTTAGTTGTCAAATGACGCCGGTAGCTTCTACCGCAATACTGTGACACATAAGTACTGACCTCCTCGTGGCAGGATGATACTTATATGTTACACACATGGCCATGCGTGTGTTATTTACGACTGATAGCTATACACATGCCTTTGTATGAATAGAATATATGTGTAATTGAGAGATCACATGTGTCCCGATATTCTTTTACATATGAACTATTATATATCTATAGACACCATTGCAATCTAGCATAAATGTATAATTTTATTCAGAGAATTATAAGAGTAACAAATGATTATGGATCTTTCTCACGTAGGTACTTGTCATCATGTTGATAATTCTTGGAACCTAGAACAAAAGTTATTTTACAATTTTTCGAATTGTTCTTTTTTTTTTCATTATTTCTTACATTATATTGTTGTAAATGTTCACACACGTACGAACACATTATGCTTGATATATATTGCATGACATGTGTATGCAATGTACTTGTGTGTACATTTGAAAATGATATATGTTTCACACACGCGAAAAGCTATCAAAGATTTTAACCCTCTTGTTACATATTCGGTAGCGGAATACACGAGACAATGAGGTTTTCGAATCGCTATGGTTACCGAATAAGCACAACATGCTATGTTACGTATCATGTCTGTACAGCATATTACGAAGTCGTTCTTTCATGAACTTGAAATACCAATAAAGGGATGGGTATAAGTTCGCACGCAACGTCACTGTTTAAGAATAACGAATGAGTTGTGCTCTTCTTTAATGTAAAAAGTTTCATTTTCCACATCTATTTTCTCTATTAGAATGATATAGATATGTAAAGATAATTATAGAGTAGAGAAATATAACGATATAATTAAAAAAGAAGTGCTTCTATTCTCGGCGTTCTCCAATTTCTTTATTGGATATCTCAATTGATTGAACTAGTTCCGTGGTTTGATATTGTTACACTTTTCCTGAAATAGTATAGAACTAGATTCTTGACATTGTCCATAACTTAAATAACATAACCTTCGTATCTAAGCAAAACCTTAGTAAAGACTAATCAATAGGAAATGACTATTAACTGTATAATACTTTGACATTTTGCTATAATTGTTAATATCTACTTACATAATTTTTTCTAGTAATTCCACTGAACTTGGATGATTTTCTAGCAAAGAGAGAAAAAAGCAGAAAAATTAGTCGCATTATTACTTTAATTGTGATTCTTATTTATTCGTTAACATTTAGTTTACCTATAATTATTTTCATACGCTTTCTTGAGGAAACTTAAATTTAATATGAAGAAGAACAAACTTCTTTTTTAAAATCATTTCTTTAATTTTATTAATCAAATAAATTTTTCGTGAAATACTTTAAAAATATTTTTCTAAAAAGTAATATGAAATAGTTTACTGAGATATATCGTTTTCTAAATACGTTCAAATTAGAAATCTTTGAATGAACATAATAAGTCATATGCACAATTATTAATTTAATTAAAATTATTATTATTAACGATAAAAGATTATATAACAAAATGAAATATTTAAACAACTGCTATAAAGATATAGAAATTAATGTTTTTAATTTATATTATATTATATTATGTCTTAAATCGTTTGGTTATGGTATTTCGCTTGACTAGAGATGTAGCGTCATTCGCCATATTTATTTTCGATCAACAGACACCTGTGAGTTTCAAGTATACACCCTTTTCATTATTATACACTTGCGCTCTTTGACAACATGTACGGTATAATGAAGACCTTTTATATATCTTTGGCGTTGACCTTTTTATATACAGGTAAAAAAAATAAAAAGATTTATTTGCATGTATTATTTTTTAATATAAATATTATATTCCTATAAATTTGTCTTTACCTATTTAACAAAAGTGAATTTTCGTTAACCCTCTAACTTTATAGAACATTTTTACATGCAATTAATTTATTGTAATATTTACACAAAGTTACACAATAAATTGCGTATTACACTTCTGTTTGTACTTAGAACTTGTTATTTAGAATTTAGAATGCTGTATTTGTTAAACTAATGTTTATCTAGAAACATTGCTGTCGCATTTTTCAGTTAAGAGCCAACGTACACCAACGATATCTTACATTTCCCAAGAGCAAATTAAAGATATTGGTGAAACTGTAGAATTTCGATGTTCAGTTTTATATGCACCTGACTTTCCAGTTGTATGGACAAAAATTAATAAAAATGTTGCCAATGACCAATTACCACTTTCGCATGGTAGTACTTTAATTATAAGAGATACTAGATTTGCACTCAAGTATGATGATGCCTTATCTACCTTTAGATTACAGGTAATATTATTACTTTTATTGTTTGGTTGGATAATTCAAATAACAATATAATCATATCTTACAATCATACTTCAGATAAAAGATATTCAAGAGACTGATGCTGGATTTTATCAGTGTAAAATTTTGATATCTTTAAATAATTATGTATCTGCAAATGTCGAACTGCAAGTTCGTAGACCACCTATTATCAGTGACAATTCAACCAGAGCTCTGGTTGTTACCGAGGGACAGCCTGTGCAACTTGAATGTTACGCAGGTGGTTTTCCTACACCTAGAATCTCATGGCGTAGAGAAAATAATGCCATCTTACCAACAGGTGGATCAATTTATCGGTAGGTAGTTACTTTTTTATAGAAGAGACTTTCAAATGAGTTCTTTTCTAGTACATTGAAAAATTACAGTGGCAATACATTGAAAATTCCT